GAAGATAAGTCTTTGTGCTGTTAAGGCCTTCAACTGATTGGACAAGGCCCACCCACATTCTGGAGGGCAATCTGCTTTATTCAAAGTCACCAATTTAAATATTGATGTCATCCAAAAATACCCCCTCATAAACATCCGAAATAATGTTTGACCAAATATCTGGGCATATGGCCCACCCAAACTGATACAAAAAATTAACTATTAACACCAGCCCAGATGCAAGTCCAGGTGCATGAAGCCTTCTTGGATTCCCCAGATCAAGCTGGCCACCAAGTGAGTGCCAACAAGCAACCTCAGTCAGTGCCACAAGGAACCAAGGGATCATCCAGCTAAGCCCTGCCTGGTCCTGACCCACAGAACCCAGGAGTATTATAAAATAGTTATTTTAAGTCACCAAGTTTAGAGGTAGCTTGTTATGCTCCAATAATAACTGGAACCCTGACTTTAACTCACATTACTCCCCATGTCTCTTGACAATCAGCAGTAACATGACTGCCTCAAACATACCCACTCCTCTGCGCCTCAGGGCCTTTCCACCTGCCATTCTTTCTGCCTATGGTACTTTTCCTCCAGCTTTCCTTAGCTGGCTCCTTTCATCTTTCCTGCCTCAGATCAAATACTGCTTCCTCAGAGGGGCCTTCCCTGACCATTCTCTAAATTGGCCTCCCTCCCTCTCCATGTCTCTATTTTTTTCACTGTGCTCATTTTCTTTAAAACACTTACCTCAGTCTGAGATTATCTTGCTGGGTCTTTGGCTTTGTCTTCACCCAATTAAAATATTAGCTCTATAAGGATAGGTCTTTATCCAGCTCATTTACTGCTCACACAGGGATTAGTGCAGAACACGTATTCAAGAAACATCTCTTAGATGAAAAGTAATGAATGGCTACATCACATGTAGGCGACCAACTTCAGGATCCTGCCCAGAGGCCTCAACTTACTCTGTTACCACAGAATTTAATGAAGAAAGATTAATACTCCATATGATTCAAAGAATGTTTTGCTCTGACTTTCCTGCCTTCTTTTCCCCCTCTAATGAGATGAGCAACCACTAGGGAACAGAACACCTTGCATTCTTTTACAATACCTCAGAGACAAAACCACTGCATTTTTATACTTGATTATCTTTGTGCCTTATCAAATATTTTTCTAACTCTCCCAGATTAATTAAATGACAGCTCTAAACTGAGAAATGGAAGAAATGTTCTCTTTTCCCTCTGGGAGATCTAGTCTACCCTTAGCTTTTGTGAGATACAGTGTCAGCTCTTAATTTCTTCCTCCTCCAGCGTGGGGCTTACAGAGAGGTTGGAGAAAGGGGTGCAGAAGAAGTAGGCCCATCCCCCACTTTTTTTTTGTTCCCCCTCCATTGTCAAGTTCTTTCACACATTTGAGGTATGAAAATTATTTTTTTCACCATCACCTGAACTCAAGTCCTAATTTGCAGGCCCTTCCAACCTGCAGCCATCCTCCAAGCCCAGCAGACATCCACTCCCACCCTACATACTTATTAATTCTCTTGCATTCTGATTCTCCCTTGTATTAACCAAGTCGATTCTCCCTTGTATTAACCAAGTCTTTTATTTTCATATTTTGTATTTTGATGTTTTGACATTTGGGTCCTTGCTGATAGATCCTGGAGAGACTGTCCCTCCCAGGCCAGCCAATTCCTGGAAATAGTAAACAACTCACCTGCAAGCTCGCTTTTCCAAATATAAGCCGACCAATCCAGAGCCTCCCCCCACTGCCCCACCCCACTTTTACTGGACTCTCACACTCTACTATTCTCCAGCCAGGATCAGCTAGGGGTGGGCACCAATCACCAGAGCCTACTGAGATGATTCAAACCAGCCCATCTCAGCCTGTTTGCTCCACAGACAGCACAGAGAGCCTCTTGCCCACAGATTTTGCCCCTCTCCCGCTTTCTCATGAGAGACCCCAGAACCTCTCCACATGGCCTCTCCACCACAGTGTGGTTTGCCTCCTTCTCTTAACTGTGGGTAACAAACTCATTTTTCAATGGCAATCATCTCCAGATAGGTGATTACTATACTTCAAATTTTCTATTAATTCCTTGTATTTTAAAACATCCCTCTAGACTGTAAGTAAAATCATTAAGTGGCAACTCAGATTCTGTACTCTGAGCACTTAGTATTTTAAGTTCTATTTTAGTAAGATTTTAAAAATTCTTGATTGAAATCACTGATGCACTCAAGAAACATTGATGCTTTGTGTATATACTAGGTATTGTGGAAAGCTCTGGAGAAAGGAGGATGAATTAAGCATGATCTCAGGCAGGCTCTTGGTAGGAAAGGGACTCAAACAACATTTAAGAAAAGAAGGAAAGAGTGAACGTCTTCCCTGAGTTCACAAGGTGGAGCACATTACTTCTGGATCCCCTTGCGTGTTCCCTTCATAAAATCAGTGTCAATTTTGGAAGGCTTGTTGGAGGGCTAGGAGAAACTTGTTTCTCTTGTTCTGTTCCATTCTTGACATAGTGAGCTATTAGATTAGGAATCTAAAAAATTATTCAGATTTTCCAAGTTATTATCTACCCCATTTAATTAAGTTTCCTTTGCAACATCTTCCCCAAAATAAGAGCATCGCTATCCCTCAGAGCAGTCTGAAGAAATTGTTTCAGGAACAGAAAACAAATGTAGTATTAATAATAGTGAACACTTATGGAGCTCTTCACATATGCTGGTCATTGCACCAAGCATGGGGTATGCATTTATTTAATAACATAGCATGTATAGTATCATCTTCATGTCAAAGATGAGGAAACTGAAGCTCTCATGGGGTGAACAATTTGCTAAATTCAGCACAGGTAATAAAAGTTATTACCAGGATTTAAATCCAGGCATAGTTACTCCATAGTCTATTTGTTTAACAACTAATTTTAGATCTGAACTAAGAAACTGTATTATTTTCTAAAATACATTGTTTAGACCCATCCAAAAAAAATCCATTGAAGAATTTGGGTCCAACTTCATCCCAGGAGAAATCCTATCCATTCAAAACTCTTCTACTAAATATTTGAGTACTGGATATTTGAGTACAGTAGAATATTTCTCCTAATATATTGTCCATTAGAATTTGTTTTCAAGATTGCTCTCTGCCTGGCTACCATCCACAGGGGTATAGCTGGTCATATAGTAGAGCAAATTACTTAAAAATCAAAGAAACAAAAAAACTCTAGAATGTCTTTCTCCAAAAGCTCCATAAAAGAGGAACAAACTTTAATAACTGCATTTATTTAATAAATGCATTTTAGGACACAAGCTGTTACAAAAGTTCTCTTCTTCCTTGTTAATGAATCTTTCCCAAGAAATTTCATCAAAATATGGTGACGTTGACTGCCTGTCTTAACTTTAATTATTCTTTCCATTTCCATTTGTTTGGTCTAATACATACCACAGAAGTCACCTCTAGACTCTAATCTCTAGTTACTGCACTGAAGAAATGCATTAAATACGTATCAGTGAATATCTTACCTCTCTGTAAGATAATTATGTCTTTACAGGCCAGGCATCGGGTAACTCACTGGGGACTCCACTATTTCAAACACGATGAACCTAGGATATTTCTTCCCTTAACACACATTTGTGGGAAAGAAATTCATAGAACACCAAGTAATGTATAAATCTCAAATCTGCTCTTTTGTTTCTCCAAGTGTATGGCTACAGAATAAATAAACTTACCATGAGAGTCAAACTGAACTCTGTTCTGGCACCTTGAGTTTCAAAATTCCCAGGAGAAACACTGAAAGCTACTCCCTTTTCCCTCCGGCATCCAAAAGAGACATCGATGCATTGCTGAGTAAGGCTTTTGAACCCTTGCCAAGCTGTGCCTCCTAAGACGCTAGTCAAATGTGTTTACTTGTTTAAAGATCCAAACCTCCCCATCCCAGCCTAAAGGGAGAAGACACTTCCAAAGGCTTTCCTTTATTCCACAACAAGCATTTATTGGGTTCCTACTGTATGCCTGGAGATTACAGTAAACTTGGATTCAACTTCTCACTGAACATAAGGACAGTATTTGCAAGTTATCTGAAATTCCCACTGAAACCAAATCACAACACAAAGCAAACCTAAACCCTACTCTGAACCGTAGAAGTTACTGTTGGTAGGAACCCCAGGAGTCTTTGAAGCCCAGCCACAGTCTCGGGCATCTGTTTCCTACACTTAGTAGAACGGGGTATTTAATAGAAGCTGCAGGGAGGAGGTGTGACCTCCTTATTCATACGCAAAGTTTGGAGTGCAAATATGCGCATATTCAAGGACCAGGTTCTGTCGGTGTCCTGGAATTCTCCAAAACGTCCGGGATCCCACAAGGATTACGAGCATTCCTTTAACACACCCACAGCTGGAAGAACCCAGGAGATTGCACCCACGTCGTTAGTAAAGGTCTCTTCTTGAATCAAACAGCAGTGCCCACACAGGTCACCACAGCCTCTAGGACGGTGCACACCTGCTCCGTCCTTCCTACGCCTCAGAACTGTGCCCCCCTGGAAGGCTTCACCCGCGGCTGTTAGGTGGGAAGGAAAGGAGAAACACGCACGCCTGGAAAAAGGGGGACACAGGTTCCTGTCCTGTTCTCCTGAAGAGGTCCCTGGCGAGGAACTCATGAGCCTGTCTTCTCCGGGCCTCACTTTTGATATCTCTAAGTTATGCCCAAGACTCAGGGCCTGGTTTGCACGCAGCTTCAAAGTTCTCTGAGAGCAATAAAGACACAGTTGGCTCAATCTGGGCCTTTTCGTGACGAGAGAGGTAGCCCCGCAGGTGCCCTCGGCGAGCTGTTCGGGATGCACACCTGCTCTGGGCTACCGAGAGTGCGCGCTCCGCACCTGTACACACGCACCCCGAGGTCGCACACTGGCACCTCTTCCCACGCGCACCGGGCCTCCGCAAGTACTTTCCCCACAGCCGCACCCGCACACGCGCGCACACGGGCAACAACTTCCGAGCGGGACTCGCGTGCGTGGGCCGCGCCCTGTACTTCACCGTCAGTCACTGTCGCGTCTGCCTCCTCCCCAGCCGGGTGCACCTCCAGCCGCAGAGACTTCGCGGTGGAGGGGGAGAGCGGCCCAGCCCCGAAGAGCTGCTCCTCGGTCACGAAGAGCAATTGCACGCGGTATTGCAGGTGCGCTGGGACTCGGGCCGGAGCGGGGGCCGCAGCCATGGTGCCGGCGCCTCTGTCCCGGAACCCTAGCCGCGCCTCCTCCGCGCAGCACTGCGCCCAAACTGCAAGAGAAAGGGGAGGGACTTGGAAGCGCTAGCTACCTTCTTCACCTCCGCTGCAAGTTCGTCTTCCACTCCTGAGACGCCCGCCTGCTGCTGCGGCACTTGGCCGGCTCGCACCGACTCCTCCACCCCCGCCCACGGACGCGCGGGACAGGAGCGCGCGGTGGGCTCGCAGAGGGGCGCAGCCACCCCGCGGGGAGGCAGCTCTGAGCGCAAGTTTGGAGAGCGCGCGAGGCACCTGGAGGCAGTTGGGGTTTGGAAGCAGAAGGGTGACACCTGCTGTTCGATGGGTCCGCTCTGCGGGCGTAGGCTTCGATTTGGAAACGTCTGGGCCTGGGCTCTCTGCTTGGTGGGCACTCGCTCTCTGGGGATTCTGGGGCTGCTGACTCCCACGTTGTGAACTACTCTTCGAAGTACTGAACCTTTTCTTCATTGACAAGATCCGGACAGCTGCAGCGAGGCAGTGAGGAAGCCCGGAGACGGCGGCACACCTGGATGAGCTCGAAAAACCGCTTTCGTCTCCCTCTCTCGTCTTTTAATTCGGAATTGAAAAGTTACTTGCTTTTCGCAATTGTGAAACACTTCCCCAGTCGCGGGTGGGGAGGGCAAGGGACTCTTGTTTCCAAGTTGACACCTGACGGCAACAGCCACACAGCGCAGCCAGCTGGTTCAGTGTCAAAGGAAGCAAAAGGGCAGTCTCTTGACCTCAGTAGAATCCCCAAGAAATTCTCAAGGAACCTGGTGTTCTGCTACCTAAAACAAGAACACACGAAAACACAATGGTACTTTCCCCCCATTTAATGCAGGGGGTAGAAAGCCAATTTAGGCTAACTTGAGCAAAAAATCAAAATATTTGGAATCACTACAAAACTGGGAAGTCTAAGCTTTGGTCATGACTAGATGTAAGGACTCAATTAAGGTTGACCAGATGGACTTGCCTGCATCTTACCGGGGCTTTAGTATTAGGGAATCATTGATCTACAGATCTTTTAGTGAAGACAAGACCCCTACTCCACTAACTCCAAATCAGTTTGGATCTTTTGATTTGTGTGATAAAACTGGTTTGCTCTGATAGCTCTACCCAATTTGTGACTTGGACCAGGGAGACTGGAAGCCTAATGGAGTTGGTGTGACCTGGGGGATGAACTGATAACCAAAGGGGGGGAGGTAGCTAGGATGACAAAGCAAGTAGCCATCATAACATCCAATATAGAGTGCTTGTGCTGGCAGGGTCCTAAGCGTATTACATACATTAATTCATTTTCTCCTCCCCACCACTCTGTGAGAGAGGGACTGCTGTTACCCTCCTTTTATACTGACGGAAAGAGGAAACAAAGGCGCACAGATTAACTGACTTGCCCAAAGTCCCAGAAGTGGCACTAAGTCCTTTACAACAGTTCAGACATAAAAGTAAGTTCACAAATAGCCCCCTTACTACCACTTCTCCAGGTTAGAAGTTAGTAGACTTAGGGTTCCAAATGGATACAGGTCAAGACTTTTAAGAGTCCCCAGAATTGTGAGCACAGAAATATTTTTAAAGTTCCCACTTCCTTTCCTCTCATCCTCCCACCCTCACACAGACAGATAAGAATTCCTTAGACTTCCTCTCTCCCCAATGTTTCTTCCAGTATTTTTATTCACACTTCAGCAGGGTTTTACCCTTTCATTACTTATGTATTGACTATAAGGTAGATTCACTCACATCATTTGAACCACCACTGAATTGACTTTCTCTCTTTAGTTCATCCCCAACTTTCATTTTCTAACAGCCATCACTCTCTTCTTCTTCTTCAGGTCTGTCACCAGCACTTTGTTTTTAGGGCCACCAAAATTTTTTAAATCGATTCAGGAGAGTTACTGAAAAGACAAAGGAGCCCCAGCCTGCAATGGAATGTTGACTGAAAACGGCTGAGCAGACTTCTCTTCTGAGTTCCTGTGTCTGCTCTGCAGCCTCAGCATGTGCAGGAGGAGGCTGTGTTTTGTCAGCTATTTGCAGAGATTGAATGGAGGTCAAGGATCAAACCGGAGAAACCAAAGCCATGCTCCACATTATTCCCCTTGCATATCCTCTAGAAAGAGTAAGTCCTCTCAGAAGTGAAGGGAGGATCTGTGGTCCATGATTTCCCTGAGACCACCCATGTCCATCTACTGACTGACTCTTTCATCAGTTGAGCATCAAAGCATTGCCTTATTTTTATGCAGATGACCAGTGTCAAGAGCTTTGAGAGATTATTTCTATGGTCTTCTTTTCCCAAAATGCATAAGGGAAAGGATCTCAGGACAACCTCCTTTGCTGGGACCTATAGCAGCAAGTTTAGCTCAGCTTCAGAATTCAAGGGACATCACCAGCCTGGTGCTGAGCTGAGAGAGAGAAAGGAGATTCAGAACTGGGTACTTACCTGTGTGAGCATGTACCCCTTTGTCTATCTCTTGCCTTCCACAAGGAGCAGCCCAATCTGTTAATGGAATGCAATTCAATAGCCTGAAGTCCAGACTAGGCTCTTCAACTTCTGAAGAGCTCTTCCTTGTACCTGGGAGCAGATCCCACCTCCTGGTCCAAAGAGACTCAGAGACATTGCTTAACAGAGACTCAGATCAGAGTGTCTCCTGCTCTCTTCCCCTGATTTCAAACTAAAGTATTCTCAGCAACATGGTAGCCACATTACTTATCATGATGTTCCACAAAAACAACTGACTCAGCCAGATAACAAATTTCTACACATTATGAAGCTTTTGATGCCACAATTAAAACAGAATGTAATAATCTGCATGTGATCTAATCCCTTAAACAGTTAGGAGTCAAAACTCATTATCTGTAGATTCCATTTGTGAATTCACCTACTTGCTAAAATTTATTTGTAACCCTCAATTCAGGATTAGTGGTGCTTTCACAATTATTTGCAGATATGTGCATGCTGGTGAAAAGTTTAAGATGCCCAATGCACACATTTCCAGGTGAGACTGAAAAGGCAATGCTCTGCCTTTTTGTTTCAGCTTTCACATGGTAAACAACTGTTCTTCCTGAAATCTATGTGGTGCCACACTTGGTGTGCAATTTGCTGGTGATTTTGCTGTTTAAAGTGGCCCCCAAGCACAGTGCTGTCTTGTGTTCCAAAGTACAAGAAAGCTATGATACATCTGACAGAGAAAATACCCAAATAAATGGGTTAGAGAAGCTTTGTTCAGGCATGAGTTATGGTGGTGTTGGGCTATGAGCTCCATGTTAATGAATCAATAATACACATTTTAAAAAGGTATCTTTAAACAGAAACACACTAAAACAAGGTTGTGTATTGATTGGTTGACAAAAACATAACCAGGGACTCACAGGAACATGACACTGTATTTCCTTTAGGAGTAGGGTTTGCTAATTCAGAGTTAGTGGCAACTTTAATGCATAACTACCATGAATAACAAGAATCGACTATGTTTTTCAACACTAATGCATTTTTGATGATGCTTGGCAAAATGAGCTCTCTAATTGCCAGATAATATCTTTACAAAATACCATTTCAAAGCATAGGCCCAGACTTTGAGTATATGATTTGGCAATGGGCCCACTTCCTATTCCTGCACACATGATAGGAAGCAGTTTGAGAGAGGGGACAGAGGGAGGAGTTGGGGTGGCCGGGGAGCACACTGGATACAGTTAATTGAGTTACCTAGACTCTAGCTACCACAGGAACTGATTACCAGAGAAACTAAAATGCCCTGCATAACAAGGAAAGGACTGACTTCACTGTGAAAGATGGGGAACATTATGGCAAAAGATAGCAACATTTAGCTTCCTCCTTAGAAAAGAAAATGTATAGAAACAGAGAAGGAGGAAGAGAGAGAGAGAGAGAAAGAAGGAACCAAAAATCACTCTGCACCAGTGGTCTTCATGCTGAAGTATGTGAAGATCCAGTGTAAAGGATTTGAAGGGAATGAATTTCCAGATTTTCTACTTGACAAGTACTTTTTCCTAAAATTGATCTTCCTGAGAAACAGGCATAATGGAGATCCACATTCCCCTTTTCCATTGCTCACTTTATTAAGGAAAGGCACACCTCTCTCTCATCCTAATTTTACTATGATTAATTGGCAGGGTGTATAAAAACATCCAGGGCACCAAACGAAGGTACAATTCAAAAAATTGCTCTAGGTATACAGAAAATTAGGACTGAAATTATTTCCAAAGTCAGGTGATATCCAGTTCTTTGTTTTTAATGAAATTGAAAGAGAATTCATTGAGTTGTCAACTGAGAGATCATTAGACAATTTTGATGAGAGATTACTATGCGACTTTGGGCAACTCCCAGCAATTACAGGGTCACAGAATAAAGGGCCCTGATGCTTGAACTACCTTAACTTCATGGGCTACCTTATCTGCAATTAGTTGAAAAGTATAATAATAATTAAATCAAGAGTTTAAGAGACTTAGGGTCATAGATTTAAGTTGCATTTAAATTCACATACATTTTAATTACAGAAACAATGATTATGGTTAGCAAAAAATTTTTTAAGTGTACAACATTACCACTAGGATAAAATTCTATGGAAGAAGTATAATAGAAATAAAATTTGAAGAAGAAAATACATATCATTTCTGACAATAAAAGAAGAGCTTGTTCATGTATTTTTAGTAGATGACAGTAAATATCAAATAACCTTATTCTTTAGAATAAATGGATCCACTTAAAAAGTGATAAAACTTTTTTTAGATGTCAATATTGATAATGTGCTGGAAGTAATATTCTTGTGAATATTTAAACTTGAAACATTTTAGATGTCAACTTTAAAATGTGTGTAAGCTATGAATATACAAAATTCATTTATGGGTACCCAAGTCAAAAGAAAAAAAAGAATTGACTAACACTGCTTTAGACAATCAGAATAAAAAGGCATGCTAGCATCTGCTGCTGGGGGGATCTTGAACTGCAGCTCTGTTTTGTCTACCCTACTCTCCCCTGGGGAATCCAGGGTGCGAGAGACCACCTGGGACCTTCCTCCGTAGAGCATGACTCCAACCTGAATAACTTGGGTAAAGAAAGAGGTACTCTTGGGGTAAGCGGAAAGGATCCTCGGTAAAACAACTCCCTCACAGCCAGGTTTCCTGAGCAGGTACATGGGGGTGACCAGAGAGAAGCTGAAGGTCCCGCAGAGGGACATGGTCCTGAGGCGAGGGAAGTTTAAGACCTGGGAACATCCTGAGAGGGGTTTCCCTTAGCTCACAAGGAATGTGTCACTTGGCATGCAGTTTTTCCCATTTCAGGCTATAATTTCCCTCAATTACTCCACTTCAGTGGGTCAGTTTGTTAGCTCTGCCTCTGCGCCTGGATATAGCGGTAAGATGGCACCTGGGGTAAGAGAAAGCAATGTTGCCCGCCTCACATTTGGGCCTCTGCTGGCCCCATGGGAAGGGAGCAGCATTTTACCTAGAAGACTGTGTGTCCAGGAATACAAGTCATTACTAGCAAGAAGTAAAACGGGCCCTACAGAGTCGGAAGTACAAGGAAGGAGCGAGCCTCACCGAGGAGCCAGCTAGGAGGCTCCGGAGGAAGCACGTGAGGGGTCTGATCCCTGTTGCACTCCTTATCACTTGAGCAACCAAGGCTGATTACTCAGATGCTCAGAATTTTATCACTTGAGCAACCCAGGCAAATTACTCAGAATTTATGGAAGCTTTTAACAGTAAATCCATGATGACACTATAAACTTACTGTGAAAATTAAATGACACTGTGGAGCCAACACTGGATATGTGGTGACTGCCATTAGTATTACTGCTCATGGAAGGAAACAAGGAAAAGGAGAAAGACAAAAGCTTAAACAACCCATTCTTCCTCAGCTGAAGGCAGCCACTGGAATTATTTTAGAAGAGTTATTTCTAATAATTTTTTTCCTATTAGCCACCTAATCTTGTCATTAAGTCAGCTTTTTTTTTAATTGAAAGAGAAAATAGAGTGTGATTAGCTACAGGTATGAGAGATGTATACAGACTTGACTCCATTTTCCCCTGATAAGAGGAACAAGACTTATTATAGAAGCATGTGAGTTTCAGCTTTTACATATTTTTGTTTTTGTTGTTCTGTCATTTATTTATGGCTTGTGATTTATATTGTACTCATGCCCAGAGGCACATTGGCATGTTTTGTAAACTACCAAATAAACAGCAACTATATTTCCAGATCCGTTTGCATGGAGGTGAAAGCAAACACAGAAAACAGACTGGGGAACACAAGCTGGAAAACTGAGAAGAGGGTTGGAGGGGAATTTGAGAGGGGGGAAACATGACTTTCATGAATGCTAATGCATACTAAATCCAGGGTCAGACCCCCTGAAAGTACAAGGAAGGTACTTTGCTGATCATCAGCTTAGAGTTCTTCCCACAGAGGTGATGTGTTTATGGGAGATCTATGCATGATTTCTCACAAGGTTCTTGATGTCCAAGCAGCACTTACAAGACAGACGTACTAAGCTTATTGACCCACCTCTTATTCTCTAAGCAACTCACTGTAAACCAGAACACACTTGGTTATCTGATTTATTAAAGATCATTGTAGAAAGAATAAATGGATGATATAAAAAATTGCATCAGTATATAGTATTTCACTAATTCACCCATACCCTTTTCAATTTCCCTATACATAAAAGTTACTTCACCAGTTAATCTTAATACTCCTTCTGATTTGAATACTCTATATATGTAGAAGAATACCTGGTATTTATTCATTGTTCTATATTCACTCTCATTTGTAAGTATCATGTGGGTTCAGATTTACCTTTAGGCCAGCATTAGCACTAGTTCATATTCTGAAGGAAAATGTTAGCCAAACTTCATCATGCCTAAGAATCACCTGGAGAGATGGTTAAAAAGCAGCTTGCAGGGCCCAGCGTCCAGGCCTGGTGCAGTGCAGAACAAATAACTCTATTTCTACCAAAACCTTGGGGGTGCTGGTCTGCCACCTCTGGACCACACTTTAGCTGTTCTCACCATGGGAGAGTTGTGCCCAAAGTCAGACTGCGTGATAAAATGTGTGGTGGCTAACCCGGGAAGCTGACAGACTGCACACAGATAATGGAGGATGACCATGCCACTCAGTCACAAGTGTGGGATTTTGCCAGGAGCTGGTTTTCCCACAGACATTTGGAACTATTTCCACATCATTCCACAGTCATCAACTAACCAATCAGAGCTTCTGTTATCTGTATTGAATTGCTAAATGTGCATCCCAGGTATAGTACAAAGAGCACTTTAACCAGTTCCACATTTTGAAGTCCTCATCTGCAAAGTAAGGATAGTAACTACTATACCAAAAACTCGGGGTGAAGTTTAAATGATAAATGCATAGGAGAGCAAGCACACTGTCCAGGGAAATTCCCTTGAACTTCCATTCTCTTAGGGCACCTCATTCTTTCCCTTTAGAGCA